TGTGTGTTTACCCAAAAGGTGCTAGCTTCTCTTAAAATTCGCAAGCAGTTTAAGCAGCACGTTGCATGTTTGCGCTTCACAGTTAAATATTTAGTTAAATTAAATGAATTTCTCTATAAACAATTGATAAAAAACTAAAGTAAAGCAATAGCAAACTTTACAGCTTTAACAACAATAACTTTTTACGTGTCAAAGCCTTCAAATTCGTTAACTTAAGCCGTACTATTTCGAAAGTCAACTTAGCCCTAAATCTCTTAAGATTTCATTCAAACGCATTACTTCATAGCTTCGTATGTATGTTATATGTGAATATGCCTTATAAATAACAATTTAGTTGGAACGCACAATAAATTTGTAATCATAAATATCAATTATTTTGCAACGAGATTTTCGTGCGGACAGGCAGGCAGCCAGATTAGTGCGTCACGTGGCCATCTCTAGTTGGAGATTTCGAATTGTGGCTACAGGTTTGTTTGCGCCTCTCTTCAGTTCTCATACCCTTATACATGGTATTATGGTTATTGCATTAAATTTGTAGCATGTGGAGGAAGACTTATCTCTTACCATAAGCTATATCAACTCTTGATTATCAACGGTTGATTTAATCGGAAAAAATAGGGTCTCAGTTTTATTTATCTATCTGTTATCTGTTGCAGACAGTGCATAACAGTACATATATATATGGACTAGATCGGTGCACTATATCATATAGCTGCCATAGAAATTTTTTATTTAAATTTCTTTTGTTTAACAGTATACTAGATTTTATATAGAGATTAGATTAAATATTATATACTACATAATATATATTTAGCACTATGGAAAGGAATGGTCGAAAAATAATATTTTCAATATATTATATACTAAATTCTATATATATTTTTTTCGCGCAAAAGATCTATTAAAAGAATTAATTGAAAAACTATTTTCTTTTAAGGACAACTTGGCTATTTTTTGAAGTATCTTAACCATATTTCTCATATCTCTTATATCTAATATCGTAGACGCAGCAATTATTATGTTTCAATATTCTCTTAACATATCTGCAAGTCGGACTTCTGGCCTCCTAGGGATACAATAGGTCAGAGGAGGCTTCTCTTTTCTTCTCAGCCATATGTCTACAAGGGTATTAATTCTTCGGCGTGCCGCAGTTTGGCATGCTTTCTTGTGCATTTTTTTCTTATTTTTTTTTTTTGGCTTTAACTTTGGCTGGTGCGACTGACCAAAGCGATGGATTCGACGGGAGTCTCGGGACTAGCCTCTGACACCGACACCACGAGACGATGCGGAATGGAGCGAAACGGCAACGGCAACAACAACAGCAACAACAACAACAATGTAACTTGCTGTAACAGCAACAACAACAGCAACAACAACATTGCTGCGCTGTTAGTATAAATTCTCGCCTTTCATTTTGGCGAGTAGTCACGATTTATGCGAAATCATTATAGGCGAGTTTTTAGTATTTACGACGCGACTTTTATCTGCAGCACAAGGAAGAAGACACTACACAGACCACAACAACAGCAACAACAACAATATTATATATGTATACAGATATATATATATATATATTGTGTACACTATAATTGCCGCTGAGTCAATTAAATACATAGATTGCGGCATGTCGATAAGGCATTAACCTTCCCCACGGCTCAAACAGCTTGCCAGGCTTTTTGGACTTAGTTGTTGCCTTCTCTCCTACAAAATGGCAGGTCATTTCACTTAGTCAAAAAGTGAGGGCCAGAAAGAAAGGCCGAGCGGACCGCGCTAGCCAAGTGGCATGCCCCAAACGCAATCGCCGTCGCCGTCGCGTCGCAGTTTAAGTAGCGCAACAATTTATGAAGACATGAAATGACTTTGATGTTTAGCTGCTGCACTAGGGAAGACTTTATACAGAGCCACTCTCTTCTAAGCCCCTTCCCCTCACTCTCCCCCTCTGCCACTTCATGACTTGCAAAAGTTAAGTTAACTTAACTTTAAAAAAATTTAGCAATTTGTAATTGACAAACTGTTTTTGGGGTCGTGTCTTGGCCCAAAGGTAAACAGAATGAAACGACACGGAAATGATTGAATTGTAGATAACTTTATAATTGTCTCTCGAGTGAAGTTGCGAGTCTTGGCGTAAAAAAAAGTCATAAGAAGAACGGCAGGTAGAATATCTTGTGTAGCTGACGCAGAGCTTTAAGATTTAAATCTCTTCAAGAATACAAAAAGTCACCTCATACACAGCTTGACATAAATACAAGACAGTGAACGCTCGCTAAGAAATAAAACGAATGCATCTACACTCTATATAATTATTTACAGAAGTCTTTTCAATGTGTTATTCCTTAATTTTAATTTCCGCTCAAGATTTGCATAAAATTAATTAAAGACTCATGTTTGATCATTTTTCAAAAAACAACAATTTTTCTTCGTCGATTTCAGGTTTACAAAAACCTCAAATTAACTGGCTGCAAAAGTTGTTTTTCTCGATTTGCTGTCGTTTTCACTGGTTCATTAGCCAACAATTAAGCAACAGTTACGAAAATTAGGAAAAACATTAAGAGTACCGTTTGACCTATAGAAGAATCTGTGGGTCTTCAATTCGCAAGAGATACTGCTATAAAAAATGTTAGCTAAAGAGAATAGAAATGGGAATTCTGTTCAGAAATCCAATTGCTTGGTTTAAAAGGCAAATTCCAAGTATTTAAACTGTTTAGGTAAAGTAGAGTTTAATTTGATTTATTTTAATATTATGCAAAGAAACACTTATTTCTCATTTGCTTGAAAGGTCTGCATTTACATAACCTCCATGTTCCATAAGAATAGAAGAACAGCTGCTGAGCGAAAATGCACCTAAGAGGCTTTTCTTGCTCATGCCCTGACCCCAGGGCGCTGTGTCGTTTGCCCATTTGCCTGACCAAGTTTTGCCACCTGAGAAACAGTCCAAGACTTTCACTCCAACAGCAACTACAACGGCCACATAAAGAGAGGATGAAGGAGGGAGGCTAACCTTAATACCCCAAAAGAAAAACACTTCACACCCAGACATTCAGTCAGTCAGTCAGTCAGTCAGTCGATGGGCAGAGGCCCGGCCAGCATTAACATTAACATCGACATGAAGCTCGATGAGTGTGTGTAATCAACACTTTTATGTGATCCAAATCCAATTCACAACTAATTACAAGCATCGGAGCGCTCGCAATTAACGGCGGGCATTAAAAGGCGCGTTGAAAAAGCAAATGAGCCGATTGCGATGCGATTTCGATTGTTTATTTAGTTACCTATCGAAATGAGGCAGGGACAAGGGGTAAAACTAGGCTACAAATTGGAGGACTGCTGAATCGATGGGTTTATTGTTGTTTTAGTTTGTTTTCGCTTTGATTAAACAACATCGAAACTAAATCGATTGCACTACATTCCAAATAGAGACGTAAATCAATGGACACGCACAGATTAGAATCCAAAAAGCTGGGCAGCCAGCACAATTAGAACTGAGTACTGAGTTGTAGTCGATGCCGAGGCCCATGCCCAGACCCAGACCCAGACCCAGGTCCATGTCCGGAGCTAGCAAAGTGGTTTTTCCGGCAGACGTGTTGGAAATTAAAGCAACGCCGCCGGACAATAAGGCTCCACCACCAATGCAGCGCCCAGGCGACAGTATTAGGCATTAGAGATGAGCAATATTTACAAGTGAATGCGATGCAATTTTGGGATTGCAATAGCAATTCCTCTTTGCGATGTTCTCACCAATGCTGATCAAAGCGAAGCGTTCTAATTTTTTGAGACACCACTGTAGTAGTCCAAATCAGTCGAAAATTAACAATGAATTAATAACAATAACGTTTGTTTACAGTTGCTGAAGTTATTCAAAATGCTGCCAGATCGTTGCTGCACGTTTAAATGCGCATCTCTAGCAAGTGCACATAGATTTTATCGCCTGTGTGTGTGCATGTTTGTGCATGTGTCCGTAAGTAGTTTTGTTTATTTACACTTGTTTCCGTCTATCGCCTTCGTCTACGTTTTTGAGTGTATTTTTTAAGTAAGCGATTAGTGTGCCAGCGTTAAGAAGTGCTGGAGTGTGAGAGACAATAAAAATTTGTCAGTTGACAAAAACAAAACGATTTCCAAATGAGACATACGAGGCATACATAAGTGGGCAGCCCCGCTCTGTCAATGTATTGGAATAACAGCCAAGTCAACGAATAACACACTCACACACATGTACACACACGCCACACACTCAAGCAGAGATAGACACTCAATGATTGTTATTAGTACATTTGCCTTGGAGTATGTACATCTAATTTGCCATTGATGTGTGCATTAAGTTTTGCATTTGTATTGGTAGGCATACAAATTGTCGTAAAACATTAGTGTCCCCCGAGATTAGATCGGCGACACGGGCGGGCGCCGGCTGGTGTAGATAGGAAAAAGGCTGGCTCATCGCCCTTTTATTTGACATAGGCAATATTTATTGCGAATTCATTTTAATGTAGAAGAAGAAAACTAAACGCAGACAAGCTTACGCACACACACACAAATTTACGCAGAGGCTTTCTGACAAAGCGAAATGCCGAAATACGCCATCAAAATAAATAAAAACAACGCACACACACACACACTCATGCACGCACAGAGGCAGCAACGCAAAAGCTACGAATTTCAGTAGCACAGCATTCGGCGCTAAGCGCGTGCGAGTGAGCGAATGAGCATACGTAAAGGACAGAGAACGAGAGGGAGAGAGTCACAGCATAGACAGAGCGCAGCAGCAGCAGCGGCCGCGGCAGAGGGTTAGTTTAGCGTCCCACCCAAACGTCATGAAATCCTTTGTGTATTGTGTTCGCGTGTGTGTGTGTGTGCGTTTGTTTGTCAACTAGCCAACGGCGACATAAAAATGCTAATACAAAAACTCCAACAAATTGTTGTTTTTGTTGTTTCCTCATCTCGTCTGCTTTTGCTTTTCCTTAACACCTACAAATTGAGTCTGGCAACGCAAAAATGGCCACACTTACCGTTTAGTCGCGCATAGTCTAGGTAAATAAAAAGCGCCGCTAATCCAAATGTGTTGCCAAACTGCACAAAATTAAAACACACACATGCACACATATAAATAGCTGCAGACACCGTTATAAACACATTCAAAATACTGTCTGCATTTGCAGAAACTTTTTGTATATATTTGTATTGCGCTTTTATATTTCGATTTATATTTTGCTTCTTCTTTTATTTTTCTTTTTGTGTGCTGCGCGTCGCGAACGAAATTCAGGAATTTCAAGTGGAAATCTTGTTTGAGCACTTTTTTTGACGGCGACGACGACCTGCGACGGCGGCGTCGGCGTTGTTGTTAGCGGCAAAGCTGAGAAAACTTTTATTTTGCACAACTACAGAACTTAGTTAGAATTTAGCTTTTAGTTTAATTACTTGCAAAACGCGCGCGCGCCTTAATTAAATGCATTCAACTCAAACAAGTTTCATTCAGAAAGTTCTCTGTTTGGCGCGTTCAAGCAGTGTTTTAATTTTTCGTTTTCAATTTCTTTTTATTTCGATTTTCTGCACTTAAACCTCGTTCGTGGTTTAAGATCGCGTACAACCGTCGGACCGACCGCACGCTTCAACGACAAATTTCACAATAACAAAATGTTAACAGCTGCTATTAGCATTCCGTTTGGCGATTAACAGGCGCTGTTAAAGTTTGAGAGAGCAATGCGTTGTTGAGAGCGCTCAGCCGCTAGAAAAACGCGCGCGCTGAAGAAAAGACGCGTGCAAAACGCAACGTGCTGCTGCGTTTTTATACATAGCAACATGCGCTCACCCTGTATGCGCTCTAGCAACTTGTAAGCGGCTGGTGTTTTACAGTGACTGACAATGTTAAACACGGCCAACTGTTATAAACTCAAATGCGCTGTTAACGTAACTATGTCCGTTCACAATAACGACAAGCGCTGCCAGATGTTTGACAGTGTGAAAATAAACTACAACTTTAAATAATTTATGTTTATATTGAGCTTAATATAAATAATTGTATTTAAAATGTTTATTTGTGCTGTATATGCAATTTGTTCAAATGCTCAGTCTCACATGTTAGCTATGCAGAGTGTGTTGTTTTTACTTTTCCATAGATTGGCAACTCCTATTGTCTGCCAATTGGCGCGCGCGTGACTATTTGAAACTATTGCGGATTAGCCGCAAAAAATTAGAAAAAAGGCAATGTGCAAGTCAAAAACAACAAAATGTAGGTAAATTGTGCAGACACGCCTGCAAAAAAATTGTTCCTCTTGAACTTTCATCTAGCAGACGCCATTTCCTGTGCGTATTTGTTGCCATTGTAGCTGTACCCGGGCGCTTCCGTTTCATATATTTATTTTTTGTATTCTTATTTTTGAAAAGTTGACTGGTCACGTTTATTAATCGGCTTAAATTTTTGTTCGGGCTGCGCAAATGCCACGCACTTAACTGTCGGGCACGTAGCCTGCACCTATTGTCATCAGATCGGGCATCTGGGCTCTAATCATGAGTTATTGTTGTGGAGAGGGTAGTTTATGAATCCAATTAGAAAATCATTTCGTATATGCATTTTTGTAACATCAACAGAAAACAGAAATTTAAGTTTATAATGCTTGACTTTAATAATATACAAACATGTTTGTCTTGTGAAACTGCCCAGGACACCAGACACCCAGCCAATTCTATCCCATCCCAAAAACGTAACCGGACAAGGCCGGGTAATCTAAATGCTGGTTTACCAAAGGAAAGAAAAGGTGCGAATGTATATGCATATGTATGTGTGTATGTATGTACATGTTTATGTTAGTACATACATAAGTACATATGACTGTAAGTAAGTACATGTGTGTGTATGTTCTCTCATACCAAAGGAGGACCAAGTTCTTCACTTTTGGCATGCATCTGTGCATGTTTATGCGTGTGTGCATGTGTGTGTATGTATTTATGTGTGTTTGTATGTATGTCTGTATGTATTTATATATACTCTCTTATACCAAACGCAACCCCAAGTTTAATTTAAGTTTTTAATTACTCCTCCTGTAAATGAAATGAAACTTACTTAATAATAGATCCCTACTATGCGATTCTCATGAATTTAAGGTCTTTAGGCTAAAATGGTAAGTTTTCGGTTATATTAACAAGTGTGCTGGCAGTCTGCTAAAGTTTCTGTATGTGCGGTATGGGTATTTATGTATGGATGTACATAGTATGTGTGTGTGTGTGTGTATGTATATATGCATGTGTAAATGCGTATATGTATGCATGTATGTATGTATATTTATATAAATATGTACAAATGTAAAAGTATATGTATGTATGTATGTATGGATGTATGTATGTATGAGTGTATCTATGTATGTATTTATGGATGTATGTATGTATGCGTGTATCTATGTATGTATGTATGTGTATGCTTGTATGTATGTATTATGTGCGTATGTATATGTGTGTCTGCATGTATGCACTTAGGTGTGTATATGTGTGTATGCATGTAGGCGAGTATGTATGCATGACTTCTTATGAATGTACGAATGTATGCAGCATACATTCATGTACATATTTATACATGCATGTAGGCATGCATGCACATATACATATGTTCTTTCAGGTTTAATTCACTGCCCTGCAATTTAAAGAACAAGCTCTACTACGCGATTCTCATGAATTGAGTTAAGTTCTTAAGATTTTACAGCGTAGTTTACTCAGAAAATATTTTACTTTTGTTGTTGTCGTCAAGTACTAATTAGTTTTTTTATTATAACATAATTATTATTTAATATAGCTACAAAATAGTATTCGTTTATAACTAGCGCTAATCAAGTCTAAAAAAGCAAGCAGATATGTGATCATCAGTAGAATTATTTATATATATATATATGCACATATATGTATATATATATATATATATATGTGTGTGTGTATTATATGTACGATACGATATTAGTCATTAAATCACAGATGTATTATTATTTTGCGCACACTGCTCCGCATCGCCCACGCCCGGCGTCTGATCCGGCGGCTCCGCATTGAGCACCAGATTCTCAATCGAACGGAATGAGGCATCCTCCAAATGGGTGGACATGGTAGGCGGACGGGGCAGCGTTGTGGCAATGCCAACACTCTGCCGTGGCGGCGGCCGATGGCGCACTGAGGACCGTAATATGGTCACCACATCCTCGGCCGTATATGGACGCTGCTGCTGCTGCTGCTCCAGCGTGGCCGTCGCCGAGGCGGGTCGCTGCAGCTTGCGGCCCAGCGACTGTGAGCGCTGTGCATAGCCAGCTGGACGCTGGCCAATCTCAATGGATTCGGGACTGCTGCTGGCAGCGGATGAAGCACCGCCCGCACCCGCGCCCGAACACGAAGGATTCGTGAGTATGCTCAGATAATCGGGCGGTGCGACTGGCGAAGGCGATTCAGCGTCCAGAGAGAGTATGGGACGTGTGCGACTAGACGAATCGCCGAGAACTCTGAAAGTGGTTGATTAAAGTCAGACAAAAAATGTTATAACATAAATATATAACATTACCTGCGCACACTGCGTCGTATGCTCTGGCGCAACAATTTGGCCAGTCGTGCACCCGTGGCCGTAGTGTAGGATGGCGGCGGCGTGTATTTCGGCGGCGCATCATTCTGTACATCATGCTGTACATTGTCCTGCTGCTGCGTGGCCGCATTGCGACGAGCCTGTGCGGTTCTTTGGCGCGCTGACGATGGACGAAGCGGCTCATCGCCCTCCTGAGGCGGACGATACAAATGTTGAATGCGCTGAAAGCAAACAAAAAATATGATGATTAATAAAATTAAGTATGTGAATGGTTAATACGCACCTCGAGTATATCCGGTGGGCCGTTGGTCAAATAGCGATAGATCTGCACAATGGCCGTGACGGGTATGATGAGCACAATGCCAATTTGTATGAGGCTGCCCATTTTGCGGCTCCAGTAGCTGAAGTAGGACTTGCCGCGCCAGTAATAAAACTGATTGGACAGCGAGGCCTTGTAGTCAATCACTGAGAGTGTTATCAGTCCGATGGGCAGTAGTACATTCCAGGAGAGCGCCAAGAATGCGGACATCGAGCCGCACATGCGCAAATCGTTGACCAGATCGTCACCATTGTAGGGACGACCGCGTATGAGAAAGACGCCAAAGATTTGCGCTGCCCAAATGATGGGTACAAACCAGGAGCCGCCAAGCAAAAAGTCCACATAATACAATATGGATATGCCCATTTCGGTGGCAAACGGTATGCTCAACAGCAGCCCGGTGACGCAGCTGAGCAGCACCGAGCTCGTCGAGTTGCCCAGCGCACTCGATATGGGCTTCCACATGACGCACAGCTGGGCGAGGCCGAAGCCTGCGAACATGCCAAAGGCCACAGCCGCCCAGATCCATGAGATGACATCGCTGGCCAACGACAGGACAGCCGGTAAGAGTTCCGTGATGAAGCGCAACGCCTGAAAGCCGCTCTCAATATGCAATATGGTCTTGTTGCGGCGATAGGTCTCGCCCAGAAACGAGGAATAGTGCGGCACCAGCGCACGCGGATACGACAACAGCTGCGGATTCGTGTGCGCCTGCAGCGAATACACCGACGTATAACAATCCGGCGTCTCTGAAAGGTGCAACAATTAAAGTTTTTAAGCCCAAACTAAAAGTCGCAGTCATCGGATGCATACCAAACGAGCCGGGCACATAGATGTATCCATGTTGGCGCAGTATCTGTACACAGCAGAGCGCGAGCAGCGCCACCAGGCTCAAGCCCAGCAGCGTGAGCATCACCAGGAGTATTGCATCGCGTCGCAGTGTCGCCTTGCTGGCGCTGGCATGAGTGCGACTGGTAATGGCTATCACCGAGGCGCCCAGCAGACCCCATGTCAGAAACGTCTCCTGTGTGGCCGCAGTCCACGTATTCGAGTTCACCAGAAAGTCGTCAAAATCGCTGGCTGCAAAAACGTTCTGAAAGGAGCAGAAATAAAGTGGATATCGAACTCGAACTATTGCTTAGGTCTGGCAGACGTACCTGTAAGCTGGCTGGATCCACGACGCTGACAAACTTGCCGGTAACAGCGATGAGTGCCAGCAATGGCAACGTGTTGATCAGATAGGTCAGCTTGCCAAGCGATTTCAGTCCCTTGCAGAGAATCAGGAAGACGGCCGCCCAGATGAGCGCCAAATAGAACGCCAGCTGCTGGAGAAAAGCGAGATTAGCCGATTATGGAAAGACTAGACACCAGACTTGAGCTACCTACCCGATCATTGACATGGAAGCGCATGCCGCTGGCATCCGGATGCTTGGCCAGATGCAGACGCTGCAACACCACAATATTGAAATATTCGGCAACTGTGTGGGTCAGATTGCCAGTGTCATTGGCCGCATCGTAGCGATACGGAAAGGCTAGCTCCTGCCAGCGATAAACGTTGCGCGTCGGCGTTGGGAAGACATCACGCAAATAGACAAGAATCCAGGCAACCGAAACAGTTGAATAGATGGCCAGAAAACACTGAACCATGACCAGAGCAATGCCCACCCCGGAACAGATGGGACTAATTTTCCACATGGAAACGGGGCCCGCCTTAATCTTGGCGCCCAGGCACATCTGCAGCCAGAACAACGGTATGCCAAAGATGATGGAGAGCAACAGAAACTGGAGCAGAAAATTGCCACCATAATTGATGGTGAGCACCGCAAAGCGGCACAGATTGAACACGCCCAGGGTGCAGCCCATCAGCGCCAGGGTGCGACTGGCGGCATGCGGCCACTGGCTATTGAAGCCGCACTTCTCCTGCAACAGCAGCTGCGGCTCCAGGGGCGTGGTGCTGCTGCCGCCGTTGCTGCTGCTGGCACTGCAGATGGTCGTCTGGGTTTGCGCCAGCTCCAATTGGTCCAGATCGGCGGCAGTGCTGACTGTGGAGCTGTCGCTGCTGCTGCTGCTGTTGTTGCTGCTGCTGGCCAGCGACACGGGACTGGGTATGCGCGAGGAGCGAGCCGAGCTCTGCTCCGAGCACAGTGTGGACATCATGGCATGCGTCGGCGTCTCCAGCGTGGGCTCGCGTCGCTGCGACTGCGCTGGTGCGCTCTGCGGCCGGCTGAGCGGCGATGCGATCAGGCCGCGCGCCGGACTCATGGACGGATGCCCCTCGAGACGACGTCCGTACTGGCGCGGACGCTGCTCCAGCTGCTCGCTAACAGCGCGCGCCGTGCGCTGCTCGTTCTGTAGCAGATTGTCAAAGATGTGCGCCTCGGTGAGCATTTCCAGGGCGCGTTCCTGTCGCTGCGACTCCGACTCCGACGATGCGGGCTGGCAGTCGCCCTGCGAGAAGCTGCGCCGCATCTCGCTGGGCAGCTGCACGAGCAGCGTGGAAGCATGCGGCGACGCCGACGTCTGCTCAGCCCGCTCCTCCGCCGTCGTGGATTTGTTTCTGTCGTCCTTCTCTATGGCGCGCCGCATTGACTGACGCCGCCAGACGTCCACCTGGGCAGCCGTAATGGCGCCCGGCTCCAGTGATGCATTCGAGGCGGCTGCAAGCAAAGACAAAATGTGAGTCACGCAGATAGAATATGAACATATGTTAATTGTTAATGAGTTTATGCTTCAGCGCGACTTTCACTAATGCACGAGATTTAGTTGTGAGCCTCGCGAAATTCTCGGCTCGGCTTCAGTCTGATAATTGGCATGTAAAGTAGTTCATAAAACTTGTTTAGCCACATTTAATGGCTATTCAAATTAAATAGCTCTAGCGAACTGTTTAATTATACAGCTTAATGATGCTCTTGCACAGGGTATTATAATTTATTCATGAAACTTGTAACGTGCATTGAATCTCGCATTTTTACAAATCCATAAACTAAACTCTGTCTGTCTGTCCGTCTGTGTCTGTTTCGAGTGTCTCTGCCTTTTTTTATTGTAATCTTCTTTGATAAAACTTGACACAGTTATTGATATTTGTTGCAGGCGCTATATGCTATATATGTATGTCAAAGTCGGCCGTATATCATATATCATATGTATCTGCCCCTATATCATATAGCTGTCATAGGAACTTAAGCTCAAAAATGTTAAGAAACTTTTCTTTTTTGCTTTCTACAAATCTCTCAAATTACAATTTGTATTAAAGATTACCCGGCTTTGCCCGGGTCAAATTAAAAGTATTGAAAATTCAAACCTACAAAGCCGCTTGCCCTACTTGAATTTACTGCTGCATTTGAACCGACAACCTCTCGCTTATCAGTCCGACGCTCATGAATCTTAGCCATGCAGGCTCGTGACGTCACGCATGCAATGCACAGTTACACAATGAAGCTGTAATTGATATTTATCGTAAACACTTTTTGCCCCCAGTTGTAGGTCGAATTTCAGCTTACGCTTTAGGCTCTGCTTTAAGCACAGTTCAGTACAGCTTATGTTATATAAATAAGATCTACAATATCAGAGAAAATATCCCTCAAAATAAAGTGGTATATGTTTGCAAGCGTATTTCATTTTCGACCTTCCGAATATCACTTTTCTTACGTGCTAATTTCTTTTACGCTGCAATAAAACTATTTCGATTTATGATATTTAAATGAAGCTCTAAATACTTAAGTAAATAGAACAAATAACTAATCAATTAATGTTATTTGGTTAATTAATTTATATATAACAGAACTGCTTCCACAGCTCTATAAAATGTATCCTCCAGTTTCTTAGCTTTTAAACTGAGAATCTGGTAGGTTAAGAGATTACTATATCATATAAAAATCAAACTGTTTTAACTGCAATTCATTTGCCTAGTTTCTTTCAATGTCAAACACAGCAAAAGCTGTCTAATCAAACTGTCCATCCGTCCGAAACATGATTCATTAATTTTATATCTTAAACAAGTTTTAAACTCTGATTGAATCACACAGTTCCGTCACAGCTGAGTTCATGCCCCGTTTTGGATAGTTAGTTACCTTTGGTGCTGATTGGTGGCAGGCCACAGCTAAAGGTTTTCCGCATCTGATGGCCACGCTGGAACTCGACATCCTGCGCTGGATCCTCTGGCGACTGTTTGTGCTGCTGCCTGCGCTTGCGGCTCAGCGGCAGAGTGCGTGTGCGTGGCTCTCGCGTTAGGCTCGCTTGACCATGGGCAATTGCCAATGGATCCTCTTTGTCTAGCTGCTCCAGATAGTTGTCCAAATCCATCAGATAATCCTCAACCTTGTCATCGTCGGAGGCTGATGATGGGGTGTCGCAGATGGAGTTGCAGTTGCCATGGAGCTGCGATGCGCCATGCACATCCAGTATGGCATCCAGCTCATTTAGCACACTGAGCGCCTCGTCCGGCACAACCGCTGCCTGTTTGATGGGCGTACTCAAGGGCGGCTCCTGGCTTACGTCACCGAACAGAACATCGCGCTCATCGTCCAGAGACAGCGGCATCTTAAAGCTAAGCGGATGCTGCTGCTGCTGCTGATGATGTTGCTGATAAAAACTTTGCGGCGTTTGCTGTATCTCAATCAGATCCTCATCGCTGGGTTCGTCGTCGTAATAGTCGCAGGCCTGTTTCATCGATTCGCTGGACAAACTGTGCGAGAGTCCATATCGTTCGGGTTCTCGTAACGATTCTTTTTGTTGTTGCAGCTGCTGCTGCTGCTGCTGCTTCTGTATGCGTTTCTCTTTATTTGTTATTGTTGCTGGCAAACTTGCGTAGGCGTTTGAATTGCGCTTGAATTCCCGGCCTGCTGCTTGTTCTTTGCCGTTCATATTGCTCGCATTGCCGTTCAGCTGTTCTTTGGGTCAGTGCTGCAAAATGACAATTCAAATCCTGTAAATAAACAAGCAGACGCAGTGTTGGTTAACAGCCAATTGTGGTAGGTCAGGTTTTGCAAGTTCTGCTAGAGATGAGCGTGAACCAGAAAACAGTGACTGTTAGAGCAGTAACAGCTGTAAAAGAATACCATAAGTTTTTGTATACACAAACAATTAAATAAAATGCATGTATTCAATAAATTGATATTTTGCAGCGCAAGTCTTGAATAAGCTATCGTTTGACCGTTTTGAGTTTATTGGCTGAGTAACAGTTAAAATCCTGCGAATATAAACAAGCAGCAGTAGTGTTGGTCAGTAACGAATTGCGGCAGGTCAGGTTTTGCAGGTTCTGTTAGAGATGAGCGTGAGCGAGACAGCAGTGACTATTACAGCTGTAACAGCTGTTATAAATATAATAAATTATTGGCATATTTGGAATTTTTGAAAAACAAATATATATACTTAATAATGTTATGCAAAAACTGTTCATGCATGAACAAAAAATGGTTTTAACTCCATATCGCAAGCCTTGAATAGCTAAAGTTTAGTGACTTGTGACTGCGACTCGTGATAAATCACAGGCGCAACGCAAACAAAGTTCAGCTCAAACCTTAACACATGAACGCCTGATTGGTGGTTTTTAATTTAAATTGTTTTCTTCGCATGATAGCCAAGTGCAATCAAATGCAAACAAGCGCGTGCTTCTCGCTTTATGATGTTTGCACGTGAGTGGACCCTAGGCGACAGGTAGCAAACAAAACAAACAGCTGTCCATAAATTGTGGCAGCCGTAAATAGCAAAATAATACACACATACAAATGAAAAATAAAGAGAAAAATAAATAAAAAGTAGAAGTAAAAAATGAAGCAGCGCGGCGCGTGTTCATTCAACTGATCAGGTGAATGTACTTCCGTTAATAACTTTTTTATCCGCGGTATGTATAGGTAAATATATACATACATATATGTACATATATATTGAATACAACATTTTTCTGCTGATTATTGCTGAAAGGGAGTGGCTTGTCTGCGTGTGTGCCAAAATCTATGGACTGTGCATCAGCATGTGTGTGTGAGTGTTATATATATACATACACAGATCCACATACATAAATATATTTGTAGTTGTGTTTGTCTAGAGCAGCGAGATCGCGATAGTTGGCACGTTACCTCGATTAAAGCAAATGTGTTCTCTCATAGCAGCAGCAGCAGCAGCAGCAGCAAATACAAGAGTTTCAAGTCTGGTTTTCTTGTCGCTTCAGTTTATTTTGTATATAACCGTGACCTTCTCAGAGTTTTTGTCGCTGCCAGTGTGGCCATAAAATTTGAACACTCACACACAGACGCAAAATAAAGTATGCCTGCAAACGGAGCACAGAGAGATCTCAGCTTTTAACAAACAATTGCAGTGAGGCCTTTTGTGTGAACCTACCCTATTTAAGCTAATAGAATCAAGCAGCAGCAGCTGTATATATTAATTGTTGACTCAAGAGGTCAAATTATTTAGCGAACAGCTGCCATTGATCGCAAATTCACACACAAAGCTGCAAGCGGCAGTAGCCAACAGCGTCCCCCTCCTTCCCCCCTTAAAGATGGACTACCTACCGTTAAATTTCGCTCCCGTTTCGAATGCGAATGTGAATACCGAAATGTCGAGTAAAAGTAAACAAAGCAATAAGCAATTAGTGCTGCCACACGAAAAACGTTAACAACGGGGGGGAATATGGAGGCACTTGACCTTCACGCGAAAATGGTAAACACCCCAAGCCCCAGCTGCAGCTTGTTTTTTGTTGTTGCAAAAATGCCACAGCCACTTGCAATTTACAATGAAATTGACATTCAGCAAAAATCAAATAAAACTAGTTAATCAACGAGTTGAGACGCTGCGATTAATACACAGACACAGGCATTCACACACTAACGCACGCACAGCAACAGCTAGAGCGAGAGTCAAAGAGAGAGAGAGAGAGGAAGAGAGAAAAAGAGCGCAACACACGTCATTTGATCATGATGCTGGCAGCAAGTTGCCATTTCGGCTATTTCTAGCTAAAAGTCCAAATACTATTATCCAGTATCTGGCTTTTCAAAAACTTAACTTTCCTTTTCGTTACATTTTTATTGTACTGACTAAGCAAAGTTTTTTTCAAAAATTTCTCTAAGTGTGGAAAATTTGTTGTCGGCTCCATGTGACAAATTTCATTATCATCCAAACGAATTCAAACTTTGTTCAAAAACTTGGTACAAAAATTGAATGATTACGTGTTTCTGAAAGTGGGGAAAAACTACCTCAAAGGTCGAAAATTGAGCTTCAACGAATGTACAAAACTCATTTTTCGACGGTCCGTGTTACAAATTTATCAAAGACGTGATTCAGTATTCGAAAAGTCTATTCCCAACTTTTTTTTTATTCAATCGACTTAAACATTTTCAAATTGGTTTAAAATGATTCACGGAATGCGGAAAATACACAATGTTGTGTAACGTGGCTTGAAGTAGTAGGCGAATATTTTAATTTATCCACCGGTGGAAAACTTGGTCGGGTAACACCCGCTATTAATATTTATATTGAAAACAATTAATTATTTTTAAACATAACTTAATTAAACCCATAAAACGTATGGCAATTGCTAGCAATTTGCTTAAATATTCTTAGCATTTTCTAGCTATTTTCTTTTGAAAATGTAACTCATTTTTCATTGCAACTTCTACCAACACTGGATGCTGCTGCTGCAGCAAGAGCAACAAATAGCGAGAGTTTTGTTTAACTGTTTAACACTGTATTTATGTGTCGGTGTGCAACAAAACTGGTACTAACTGCACAATGAGCGCCTATTATTATTATGTTAACAAAAAATATTGCAAGAAAAATGCATGCATGCTTTGCACGTTTTTTAAGTACCATTTCCTTTTCTTTTTTTTATGGGCAACAACCACTGCAGACACGAGAAAACCACAGGGAGTACACGACGGCAGAGCGCTGCGGCAGGGGGTTGCAGCTGGAAACGGGCGTCAACTGCATGCATGAGTAATAGCGTAGCGACGCTGGCAACACATTTCGTATTGCAATTGCAATTAAGATCAATATTTAAGTAATGCGCCGGGTCGCAGCCAGCGTTTGCCAATTGCTAAGCAATCGAAAAACAGAAGAGTGCACTAACACACATACACACAGATGTATATACAAAGTGAGAACGCGGAATTTATTATTTATTTACATACACACATATGTATGCCAACGTTATAACGGGAATCGCTGCGCTGCTACTGCGTTGTTGAAATACTTTTTGTAAAACAAACACACACACACACAGCCATGACCGATGAGCGCGTCCCAGTTGTATGAAATATAACTGTTCTTATGGCAACCGAAAAGCACAACAAAAAGGAAATTTGCTGAGCTGTTGATTTTTTTTTTCTGGGTATTTCTGGGCACAAGCTTAGCAGTTTTTGGGGGAATACCTTGGGGATTGGTCATACTGAGGTGCTGGCGCCACCTGACGTTTGACACTAAAAACCTACAATAAAAAAGAAGAATTCGAAACCACACGACGTTGGATCCTCAATTAAGCAAGAGTTGTACACACATACATACACACGCAAATGCTGATAGAGAGATTCGTGTGTGTTTGCGTGTATTGTGCTTATTTCGAAACGAAAACGCGGCCAGTACACGATTTTTTGAAGATTTTTTTTTTCGTAGCGTCAACTTACGAAACGTATCAAGAGTAACAGGCACCACCAATCGCACAAATACAAATGCAATGGAAAGGGGAGCGCGTTGGCGTTGCTTCTTCTGCTTCTTCTTGCCACACAATCACAATGTTGCACTCTAACTCTCACTCACTATCTCGCTTGCGCTCGCATACTTAGTAGCAGCCGTTAGCATAATGCACACACGCACACAAATATGTATATACATGCAATACTCACACGCACACAACCATATACACATAAACGAGCGCGCGTATTTGGTATCTTGTATCTTGATTTCTTCTAAATTTATCTGCCACAATTCTTTGCGTTGTTGTTGTGCCCGGTACGTACAAACTTCAGCTTAACTAAACAAAATAATTATTGTGCGAACTTTTTTTTAAATTCATTTCAAGATCGGAACGCGCGAGACACGTCCGCTTCGTCAAGAAACAGCCAACTGACGAGTTTGACAAACAAATATAACAACAATATAACAGCTAATATAACACTAGAGGCGCTAGCAGTGCAACTACAACTGTAAGAAATGCTGTTACTAAACTTGCAATACTCCTCAAACTGTTGTTATGCATGTTATTGCCTATCGATAATACATTTTATAGACGCACTTAACAGTGGCTGTCAACTTTAACTGTTAAATTTGCAGTAATTGGGGAAAAATATACCACTCTACATTTCAAAAATTGTTTAACGACAAATGAGCTTAGACCGTAAGATTGGACTCTATTGTTTCAAAATATGTTAAAAATGCGATCTTGTGAAATTTGTGATCGATAAGTTTTGAAAGCTCGTTGAAAATCATCGACTTAGAATCGATAACAGTTGTCGCCAATAACAGCATTTAACCAGAATGTTAAGTTGCGCTGCTGTTATTGAACAGCTGTTTCATACACCTCTGTTTTGCCGCATAAAATATAACATAAATTAAAATGGAATTAGAGGGTTCCGAATTAGGCACAAAGGAGTACTGGGAAACCAGCTACACTCGAGAAATCAAAAACTACAAAAGCCACGGCGATGTGGGTGAAATCTGGTTTGACGAGGATTCTCAGCAGCGCATTGTGGACTGGCTGCTGAAGCAGGAGACCCTTAATAAACAAACAGCACGTGTGCTCGACTTGGGCTGCGGCAATGGTATGTTCCTGATCGCTCTGGCCAACGAGGGATTCGCACAGCTCACGGGCGTTGACTACTCACCCAAGGCAATTGAGCTGGCCAAGGGCATAGCCAAGGATCAAGCGCTGAACATCAGCTACGATGTGGCAGATTTGACCCAGAGCGTATCCCCAACGCTGGGCACCTACGACATCGTCCACGACAAGGGCACCTACGATGCCGTCAGCTTGTGCCCAGACAATCCCAAGGAGCAGCGTACAAATTATCTGGCCACTGTCGCGCAGTTGCTGCACGACGAGAACAGCCTGTTCATTATCACCTCCTGCAACTGGACGGAGGACGAGCTGCTGCAGAGCTTCGAGCATCTTTTTGTCAAATATTGCACCATTCCCACGCCCACATTTAAATTTGGCGGCAAAGTGGGCAACGTGGTTACCTCCGTAGTGTTTAAGAAAAAATGAAAAATAAATAAGACATACATTTTTTACCATAATACACATAAACAGAAAATACTGAACAGTGTTGTCAGTTGTCGCTGAATCTAGTGTTAAAAATAGCCAGAAATGGCTGCATTTGTTGAACACAATTAGATGGAGAGATGCCAAAGAGTAGCTAAACGCTGACGACCTCTGAAAAAAGCCGAATTCAGCTAGAATAAAGCTGACTTGGCAACACTGGCTTTGAAGCCTTTTATGATGTTTGCACTTAAAAACACACTGACTGGGCAGCACTCTTATCTGTAACTGTAGTTGCATACACAATGATAATGCGGGGGTAATTTAACATTTATATATATTTATTTATTATTGTTGTTCCATTTTGGTGTACTGCAATAAATCAGCGGACTAATAACACAATGATTAACAAGAAATAGACAGCTGTGGTGCCTTCATGCAGCCCAATTCTATAAATACCCTTGCAGGCAAACAGCATGTTAAATATACATATGTTTCAACTAGCTTGTAAATGATATGAAAATAGAAACTGGGCGCTAACGATCTATGTCTAAGAATAACAATAGAATTTGGCTGTTTGTGATATTTGTAAATATTTAAAAGGGTTCAATGTTTAAAAACCAATAAGCCCATATTGATCTATATATGTATATGTTTAGTTAGTCATAGCTGCGCTGCTAGGGTATTCTCTTAACAGTTGAGATGATTTCTTTTAAATAATAGCTCACATAATACGCTTACATATTTGATGCACAGAAATAACTAACATTTCAAGTGCGTTAACTACCAGTTAGCAAACGATAAACAGCTGATAGACACGCCCACCACCATCCGCAACGGTTGTTTAGGCGTTACAAGTACATAGTAGACATTAATTATGCTAGGGTCTTTCAATTAAGGACAAGGGTATGCAGCTGGCATTGCTTCAAGAGAGAAAAGTGCGAACAAATCCTTTAATATCCGCACGACACATGGGACATTTGGTCACGCTGGGCGCGCAATTGTTACAGGTGGCTGCGATCAAAGAGAAACAGATTCGTTCAGTTATCAAGTACATGAAGATTTCATTTAGCACTCACCCAAATGTCCGCAGGGCAGGAATACAATACCGACATCCTCGTCCAGACACACCTTGCACAGGCGCGCATCCTTCAAAAGGCGATTCTCCTCCTCGAGCGACAAATTGCCATTGGGACTTGAGCTGTTGACCGAAGCAGGCTCTACTGCAGCAGCTGCAGCTTCAACGACTGCTGGCCTGGGCGGCTCCAGTGCAGCCGCTTTGCTCGTGGTGGCCGAACAATCAATGGGCGCTGGTGTCATAACTGCATTTGCTGACGGCTCAGTTACTTCCAGTGCGGCACTGGTGCCGCCTGCATCATCAAATATGGCATGGAGCAGGTCGTCTAGCGTATCGTAGGCACAACCCGAACTGGACAGCTTTCGGGCAATTGTGCTGCGCACAATGCCCACATCTATGCCGAGTGCCAGAGCCTCACAGGCTGGCGGCGCACACATGGCGCTGCCAATGCTAATGGGTAATTGTGGCGCTGTGGCAGCCGTTGGCGATGCTGCTGCTGCTGCGGCTTTACGCACCTGCTGCACATACTGTGGTCCCTTGGCGAGGAGCACAAACTGGCATTTTGGCGACCATTTGGCGTGCTCGTGCCACGGTTCATCCTCCTTCTGCCAGGAGCGCAAGCCAATGTTACAGTGAAAGCAACGCACCTGATCATCGATCTTCTGATAGTATAAGCCCGCCTGGGCAAGTGGCTCAGCGGGCTGTATATTTGTAATGGGCCAGTCGCTGAACGTGCGCAGTCGCGCCTCCATGCAGGCGAATTGAGGGCGCTGCGGCAACGTTGTTGGCTGTATGCCCAGCTCCTCCAGATCCTTGCCAGCGAACTCAATCAATGGTCCCATTTGTACACGCGGACAATTGGGAAAGAAGCGTCGATGCTCTTCAAAGGCATTGTCGTTCTTCTCCCATTTGGCAATGACGCCCTTGCACCACACACATCTCACATGATCCGATTGGTTTAGATAATAGAAACCCGCCTTGGCTAAAGCTTGTGGTGTGATATTCGGATTCTGCAAAGGTCGGAAGCTAATTAGTTGGCAATGCCTGTCACTATTAGAGGGTAAATACAAACGGGCCAATCCTTAAACGTTTCGAGGCGATTCGCTTCGACAAGCAAATCCGGGCAAGCGCACTGTACCTGCTGTGTGGTGCCGCCGTCCACAACGCTGTTGCCCTCGCAGTCGCTGCTCTGTCCGGCGGCGACGGCGGCGACAGCTGGCTCCACGGGCACATTTCCACAGTGATTGGGCGCCAATACCATTGAGCAAATGGGTGAGGCGCGACGATGTCGCTCGCTCACTTGATCACCGTACTCCCAGTGATCGATGCGTATGTGACACCAGTTGCATTCGGCCTCCAGCCAATTGCCCGTGGCAAAAAACCCATTTTTCACCAAATCTTCGACCTGGACGGGTGCATTTGTTGGCCACTCGATAAACGTCGCATATCGTTCGCTTTCCAATTCCAGGCGACGATCGGTCATGTTTGTGAATCACAAATGTGAATGGGCGTCGCGTGGTTCTTTTGTCACTGCGTTTAACTAGGCAATGATGTAATTTGCTCAGCTGCAATTTAACAAAAGAACCAACAAACCAAATGGCTGATGTGAAAATAAAGTTTATTGATTGCCCGCCAGTGTGACCGTTCGCTGCACTAAAATTATTGGCTACCCATTTTATAGAGTTGAGCAACATCTGCCCATCTGTGACTCACAAATATTGTGTCACGCCGTGACTTAATACCAGTACCACAGCAAAAATCACTGTCCAAATATTACTAATCATTAAAATTATGTTTATGCCGCTATCACTATACTATTTGCATTAGATCGTAACGTATGCATTCAGATGTAAAAAATTAGATATTTTATGTGAGTACAACATTCCCGATTTGAAAGGATGAAAAATGCTGAAAATCTGTTAAAAAAGTAGATTTGGTATTAAACTAGATATTTAACACATGGTCACACTACATGTTGCTGCGGTAGAAAAACATATGTTTGACATGCAAATATGCATATTTCCACTTTTAATAATTATTTAGCCCATAAAATCTACAATATGCTTGTACTCTTCAACGTACTCATTTTTATTGAAAGAATCACTTAGAAAGACTTGCTGTTTAAAAACGTGAAAACCAAGAGCAAAACGCACGCAGTGCGTTAACGCCAGCTGATTTTGTTGTCGGGTTACTCCTTACTGGAAGTAGGTCCTTGGCTTTCTGTACGAGAACAGCTTCCTGTTGCCCTTGTGGTGGACACGTTGCACCAATGGGAACTTGATCTTGGAATCGTGGAACTGCTTAACATGGACACGACGCGTCTTTGAGGCTGGGATCGATTCCACCTTAATGATTTGAATCGAGTGGGCACGGGCACGATGACGAGCACCCATGTCACGGTAACACTGTGTAACGGCACCGCCCACGGTCAGGTCACGGTACTCGCGGTACATGTTGTGTGTGCCCGAACGAGAATCGTAGCGCAGCCAGATGCCAAAGTTCTTGATCTTAATGGGCGATGTTTCGTACACCTGCTTCAGGGAGACAATTTCGCCGGTGGTCTTCTTGAACTTCTTCAGCTGGCGCAAAAAGTACCAGAAACGGGATTTGGCGACAATGTTGTCGGGAGCAAAGATGCGCATCTTATACAGAGGCGTCTGTGGCTCCTTCTCGCTTGGCAGCTTGCGGCCAACGACCTCGTATTCCTTCAACTGCAAGCAAACAAATATGTTAATAAGTGAAATAGTTACTTTTTTGTGTAAACAAATGCGGCAAACAGGCAGTGAAACACACACACACACACAAACACATACGCATACAAGCAGGCGCGTGGACAGACGATATTGTTGTTTGTATAGGTTATGTGTTCTTTGAATGCCTATAAATCAAATTTAATATAGGCTTAGTCCTAACAACAAGTCACAGTTTAATTAGAAAAATTTCTCTGAATGTGTAAGTCTTCAGCAGCAGTGTCTGCCTAATAGAAGCACGACGTCCGCATTGTCCATACAACAGCGGTTAGCCTGAATTTTTGTGTTTTTCGCACAGTAATTGCTAATTTTCACACAGTCTCTGAATTGCACTTGTTGCCAGCTATGTTTAACTGCCTGCTGCACACATTTTTTGCACAATTTACACTAGTTTTTGTTTATTTTTGGCAAATACTAACCAAACCCTTGGCTCTCATGATGACGGCTCACGCGAAAAAGGAAACGGAAAGAGATGTCAAAATGCTTTTAACACTGAACCCAAAACTTATACGCAGTGTTGCGTTTGGACGCTGCTGAGAAACGTTGCTTTTGGACAGTCACCACAGCGTGCTATTGCCCTGTTATCGACGCATTGCGCATCGCTAGACTTCTGCGCGTGTTCAATGGCTGCGAACGTCGATAAAATTGCTAAAAATTTGCTTTTCACGCGTTATTTAAGCAACAATAACAGTAAATACACAAACCATATACAAAACTGATAGTGCGTGCAGCAAATTGCCAATGGCCCAAGCCCTCGAATTAAGCAAAAAGTGAGCTCAAAACACAAGCACATCAATAGTGAGCAGAGAAAAAAGAAAATGCAAAGCGCAATGTGAGAAGTGCAAAAAAATTTCCTATATTCACAATTTCAGTAGCGCAACAAAATTTGTGCGCGGTAAGCAAACACGCATAATTGTGAAATTCAAGCGCGTGTTTTTTCGCCCCTATTACGCAGCCAAATGCGCAAAAATATTAGAAAATAAAACAAAAATTGTATAAGCACTGCGACGACGTCTGGCCTATCCACACACAAGAAGGTAGACGAAAAGAGCGCAGGGCAAGGGGTGTTGTTCTTGTTCAGAAAAACGCGCGGCCGCCGCTCCGCTGGGCGCTCCATTGCCTTGCCTCGCTCAGTTGTGCAGCGAGCGTCCGTGCCGTCGGTTGTGGTTGTGACTCCTCTCTCTCTCTGTATATACTTGTTTTGCGCGCGTAAATATTGCTGCGTGTCCGCCCCGGCAGCTGCTACTGCGAGCAGGTAAGAGAGACGCGTGCCTAATTATCAAAAAAAAAGTACTACAACTGCGATTACATGAGTTTTGATTTTCTTCCACGGATTTGTTTTGCGCATAATATTTAAAGTAAAATATGCAAATTTATTTATAGCCAAAAGTTTTGCTTTTGCTTATTTCATGCTCCCTCCGCCTCCGCAGCACATTTTGCGCAATTTATTTTGGTATTTTCAATTATCCGATTCTGCTTTATGTGCGCACTTCGTACGGCACCAGGGCTGGCGAAATAGCTAGCAGCACAGCAATGAATTGAAAGAATTTGATTTTCGGCTTCCCTTTTGTTTTGCTGTTGCAAATGGCTGCTTCTTGTTTCTGCTTTCTGTTTTTATTGCTTATCTCGCTATCCAACGTAATAGCGTATTAAAATATTAGGCAGCGAAATGCAAATATATTATTTTTTCGTTTTCTTTTGAATCACAGCAGCTGTAAAAAGAAGCTCAACTTAGCAAACGGTAAACACAACGTCGCTGTACGGCATGCAAAGGTAATTAAATGAATCGATTTATATATATCGATAACATATAATAACGCTCATTGTTTTCGTTATCGCTATTGCCTTGGCAGCGCATAAATGCAAAAAGATGATGGAAACATTGGAACAGCAACAAACAAAGAGTACGCCTAACAGTGAGCCCCATGCGGGCAATACGGAAACGACGCCGGCAGCCAGCGAAGAGGATGACATTGAAGAGCATTGCAATGCGTTCGAGCTGGAAAAGGAGGAGAAAAACAGCAGCAGCCCGCTACGTGAGCTTAGTCTAAAAAACGTAGCTGAGCAGGATGAAGAGCAAAGTCGCCTAGAGAATGGACGAGATACAGAGGAGGAGCCGGCAGCTTCACAAGAGACGGCGCAAGGTACATCTTCAACTGCCGACAGCTTAGACGAGTCGTTTGAGCTGCCAGCCGAAAGTTCTGTGAAAGTGGAGTGCGTAGAGGACGTGGGGGATACTGCTGAGGGTAGCGATGCCGAAGAGAAGCCGTCCACATTGCTCGACGCCCAAAAGTCGCCAATCGACATTAAAGTTGAAACGAAAAGTCCTTTACCAGCGCTCAAAGACGATTTTGCTGACGAACCCTCCTCCTTGCCCGGCAAGCCAGATGAGCAACAGAACGGAGAGATTGCGACAGCAGGTTCGCCAGCAATGCAATTTGATACGGAAGCTTCGCTTCATGATGAGTTATCCTTAACAGATAACATAAAAGTTGAAGAGAAAAGTCCTTTGCCATGCATTAGGCCAGATGAAGAAGATGTCTCTTCGCCAGCGATTAAAATGCCCGTAGAGAATTCTCCATATGAGCAGAAGAGCATTTGTGAAACATCTTCGCCCGTGTACCGAGTCGTTGGGGAGAGTTTTTCTAATGATGAAGAGGATAATGTTTCACCCACGATAAAAGTGATTGAGAAAAAATCTTCACCTGCCAACCTGCAAGAGGAAGAAAGATCATCATCGTTTTCATCTGCACTTAAGATCTCTAACGACATTAAAATCGAGGGCGATGAAGATTTTTTAGACCGAGTGCAAGGAAACGACGACGACGGAGAGGAGGAGCAGGAGGATGAGGCGGCATCGTCACCTGCATTCAAAATCGATGAAGATGAATTTGCTTCAACTGCAAACGCAACCAAGGAAAGGGAATTAACATCACCTGCAACAACAGCTGCGACGCCTGTGTATAAAATCAATGATCTTTCACCTGCCAGCATACCAGATGATGATGATGATGAGGACTCCTCACAAGGATTTAATGCTGAAATTAAAATCGAGGAAGCCAGTCCAAAGTTGCCAAAAATTGAGCGCAAATCCCCCATGGAAATCATCAAGATTGAGTCTGATTCTGAGGATGAAGATGTGCAGGTAGAGGTGGAAAATGATGTGGATGAAATTGAAGGTAATCAAACAACTGCAACAGATTCTCCCCAATTGGAGCCACAAATTGAGCAAAGTGATAATTTGATTAAGCAAAAGCAAAAAATGGAGACGCCAAGGACGCCGTCGCCGTCGCTGCCGTCGCTTAAGGTGAAAATAAATGGCGCACATGCAGCTATGGAAGAACTGCAGCCGATGTCCGAGGTGGAGCAGGAGAGAATGCAGGATGCAGTGCAACAGTCTGTGATAGCAAATAACGAGAAGGAAGAGCAGCTGGAGCTGCACCACAGCGAAAGAAGAAGCAGCCGTAGCAGCAGCAGTAGCTCTGTCAGCTCCACCTCACAGCAGCTGGTCATTGATCAGCCCGAGAGCGAGCAGCAGCTGCGAAAACAGCAGCAGCAGCAGCAGCAGAGTCAGGAGCCAGAGCCGGAAAAGAATCAGCAATTGTTGCTTGCATTGAAGCGCAGGCGCAGCGGCAGCAACAGCAACAGCGACAGCGACAACAACCCAAAACCAACCGCCAAACAGCAGTGCGTGGAGACGGAGACGTCGACGGAGGAGCAACAGCCGTCATCCTTGCTATTGCAGCGTCTGCAGGCGCCAGCGCCAAATAGCGGCGATCTGGAACAGCAACTCAGCTGCTACAAGTGCAATGCAAACAAATTTGAGAATTTTCAGCAGCTAAATGCGCATTTCGCGCAATGCAAGGCACACACCGAAGCAGCAGCAGCAACAGCCACAACGTCAACAGCAGAAGTAGCAGCAGCAGCAGCAACAGCTGCTATCCCAGCGCCAGCTGCTGTTGCCGTGCCCTTGGCCAGTCCCGCTCCAGCTCCTGCCCTCAAGAAAGAGCGCTTCTTTCGCTGCGCCCGCTGCAGCACTGTGCATCAGTGTTGGAACTTTTTTCTGCACATGCGCGAGGTGCATCAGCGTTACATTTGTCTGTACTGTTCTCATGTGTTTGCTAGCGTTGAGAAACTGTCGCTGCATCTGGAGAACAAGCACGACATGGATCAGCGTCATTTTGCCAACATTGAGGCGTGGCAAGCGCTGCAATCGCAAGAGGATCGTGCCCGATATTTGGTCTGTTGCAATTGCCAGGCAAGCTTCGCGCGTGGCAGCCATTTCGATGATCATGACTGCGCCGAGCTAATGCAGCCCTGCGCGCTCTGCGGCCAAAAGGCTGGGCATGCCAATGGCTGTCGCAATAGCAGCAGCACCACAGCCACCACCGCCAACAACAGCGGCAGCAGTCGCAAGAAGACGGCGGCGCGACGCAAACGCAAGACGGCCAAGAGCAAGCAGCTGCCCAACCAGCAGTTGGCCGAAGAGCAGCCCAAGGCTAACAATCAACAGGAGGAGGAATCCAACTGGATGGAGACGGATGCGTTGGTGCCTCCAGAAGTGCCACCACAGCCAACGACATTGCCTGAAAACAACAGTAAGTGCAGAGCCTGATGAGCATAAATGTCTAGGGAGCGTACAAAGAAACCATTTGTATTCGATGTTCAATCTTGACGTCTATTTTCGGCTTAAAAGTTCTATTTGAGAACTTTGGCATAGACCTACTTGGGTTTCTACCCATACACATTGCTTCTACTGATTATTTTTACATAGACCTGCTTGGACTTTAAACTTTGAATTTGGTTTGATCAATTGACTGATTGAAGTCCATACTTGAGAATTTAGTTAGCGCAGACAGACTCGGACAGAATTTTCATCAAATTCACGCACAAGCGCGGAAAATAGATGAGCAACTGTTTAGTCTCTTGCAATAAATAGATTCAAAGATCTTTAAAGAGCTAACAGAAATGCATTTCAATATATACATATATGTGTATATATTTTCAATTTTTAAATTCACTTATGCGGGTGGAAAATGTGTGAAAAACAATTTGTACGCACCTCTTCGCATTTAGCTACTCTCCTTAATATAATGATAACTAATCAATTAAAACAGTTCCAGCGCCAATTGAAGTTGCGCCACAAGAGGATGCGGTGCCCAAGCTGGTGGTGCCGAAGATGATGCTGCGCGTGCCGAAAGAGTTTCAGAAATCTGTGGACGCAGCGCTCAGCAGCACAGACACTGAGGATGAGGACAACGATGAGCTGGCAACATCAGCAGCAGCAGAAGCGGCAGATGTAGGAGAATCCGAAAGCAGGAGCAGTGCGGTGCCGCTGCTCACCGTGGATGCAGTGGAGCAGCAGCAGCAGCAACACTTGCAGCCCATGTCATCATTATCGGAGGACACGGAAACCGCCACTGAGACAGCGTCCACGTTTCAGGAAACGGCTCCCACAATGCCCGCGAATGTTTCACTAAACGATTTGGAAGACGATGAGGATTCGCCTGCGTTAAAGTTGCCGCTGGTGCTGGCCGAATTCGAGCGCACCAAATTGGACATAGAGCGCACCATGGCGCTCATGGTGGCCAAGAGGGAGCTACAAGAACAGCAGCAACAGCAGCGCCAGCTGCAGCAGCAGTTGCAGCAACAGCAGCTGCCAACTGAAGTCAAGCAGCAGCGCGGCCGCTGGTCACTAACGCCGCCCGCATCCCCGCATAATAATCCCATAAATGAGACGACGCATGTGCCAAATGCGCAGGTGCAGTTGCATGATCAGGAGCAGCTGCTGCCGCCGGGTGAATCGGTAGAGCCAGCGGCAGAGCTGTTGCCTGCGCCTGCGCCGCAGCGACGGGATACGCTGGGCAGCGAGTGCATGGAGCTCGATGATAGCCTAAATGAGGAGCAAAATACGCAGCAATCGGAGCAGACAGAACAGTCCGAGCAACTGCAGCAGCCATTGGACGCAGAGCCAGCGGCAAGCGCAACGCCGCCGCCACCACCGCCGCCCGCCGATGGCATCGAGGTGGCTGGCGCGGATACCCACACAGTTGATCTGCAACTGGACAGGCCGCTGGACAAATTCGAAATGGTCGACTTTGTGCGTCTATGCCTCAAGGCTGTCTATCCCTTTTGCCTGTACTGCAACCATGCGCGGCGCATTGCTGTCAATGCCAAGCAGCTGGCGTTGCATCTAATTGGACAGCATCGCTTCACGGCCACCGTGGACAGCATCACGGCCGAGGAGCTGCAGGCGGAGACTATTGTCGCCAAGCTGAAGAGCTACTTGCCCGCTCTGGAAGGCAATCACTATTTGAATTCCATGAGCTGTTGCAGCTTGGAGCAGGGACGCTTCGTCCAACCTTTCAATGAGCGCATCTACGAGTGTTTCCAGTGTCGCTATGTGACGGCCACGCATAAGGAGCTCTACACGCACAATCGCCGGCTGCACATTAAGACGAACATCACGTGCTGCATGTGCCGCTTGAATTTCTTTAGCTACAGCGAATTGCTCTGCCACATCTGTCCGGGCATCGCTGCGGGCAACGTCTTCGATGTGCAATTCCGTTGCTGTCTGTGTGAGACGGCGCCGTTGGCCTCCGCGTTCCGGCTGATGGTGCATCTGCGGAAACAGCATCAGGCCTGTGATATCTGCCTGGAGGATTGCCATACCCAGGCCAAGCTCTCGGCGCACGTGTGGAAGCACAAGCTGTTGCATCTCTGCTATCGCTGTGGCATTGCGTATCGCAACAAGCAGGACATATCCAAGCATTTGTTCTGGAAGCACGGCACCGAGAGCACCAGCTGTAAGCGATGCCTGCAGAAACGCTGGCGTCATGTCTACCATTTCTGTGTGCCCGCCGCGCAGTTTACGTGCGAGCATTGCCAGTTCACGTTCAGCAAAGCCATCTACCTGGAGGTGCATAAGCGTCAGCATGTGGGCGATTATCGGTATGCCTGCAATGAGGAACAGTGCGAGGAGAAGTTCGTTTCGCGCAAGCTGCTGCTGAAGCATGCGGCACAGCATGAGGTCAAGCAGCTGGATGACGACGAGGAGGAGGAGGAGTCGTCCAAGGATCAGCTGACCAAGCTGGAGCTAGAGGAACAGCGCACATCGAGCGCAGCTTCAGATCAGCGCGAAAGCAATGGGCAGCAGCTTAAGACGGAGAACGAGCCAATGTCATCACCTAAGTCAGAGGCAACACATCATGTGGATGGCGGAAAACTGAAAGATAAAACGCCGCAGCCAGCACTGTCGGGGGCACAGCGGGAGGCGGAGCAGACGCCGCGTAAGCGACGCAAGAAGGCCAAGCGCAACAAGGCCTCGCTGGAGGACCTTAATCTCATTGCGCCCAATCTATCCGAATCGGACAGCAGTGACGATAGCGATTCAGATGCCGGACGCAGCACAGGCACACTGCAGGACAGCCAAGCACATGGCACGCTGCCCATGCGTGCATCTGTGGATGATCTGGACATGCCCAGGATAATGCTATCGCCGGCCTCGGAGAGCGACAACGAGGAGCCGAATAAAGAGTTGATCAAGTCAGAGACAGAGCCCAAGCAGGAGCAGCAGCTGGAGTCAGTGAAGCAGCAGTCGCTGAAAGCGGAAACGGAAACGGAATTGGCTGATGGGCAAAAGCCCAAGCTGGAGACGACAGATGCAGCTGGCGACACGCAAGAATTGCCAGATATATGGAAAAATCTGTTGCAAAATCAACCGACTGCAGTGGCCAAGAAGGAGCCGGAGGCCCCGGAAGTGCAGCCGACGGAAGAGCAGCTGCGTCCCACGAAACTGCATGTGGCCTGCTCCGATCATGACTACTGCAAGATGCAGCGCACACCGCCGCCCACGCCAGTGCCCACGCCCGAAAAGCCATCCCATGTGACGCCCAACAAGCCGAAGCGTAGCGGCAATACCGCCTCCAGCGATAGCGACAGCTCCAGCAGCTCCAGTTCAAATTCAGATTCAGACAGCTCGAGTTGCTCGTGCGGCTCCAATTGTAGCTGCAGCTCCAGCGGCAGCAGCAGCAGCGATGATGACTCCGACAATGAGTCGCAAAAGTCACCCAAGAGCCCCAGCAAGAAGGTGGCAAAGAAGAATTGCTCGTCGGAACGCATCCAGGAATCGCAGAACAACCTCAACAACAACAATAACAACAACAGCGAGGAATATGTGAATGTGACGAGCAACAATGAGGAAGAGCTGCGTCCGGTGATGCCATCGCCCAAAGCGCCGCTCTACAATGAATCTGACTTTGATACGGCCGTCTCCGATACGGATGAGGAGTTCTACGATGCACATCCACAGAAAATGGCCAGCGAGATGTTGGCACAGAAACGTCTGGCGCTGCTCTCGGCCCAAGCGACAGAGGCGCAGCCGCAGGACGGCAGTGGCAACTATGGCATTGTGGAGAACAGTCGTCCATCGACGCCATCCCTGCCCGAGGAGGCAGCTGCCTTTGCGGATAAGCGTGAGCGTGTGGCCAAAAACAAGAAAAAGAAACGTGAACGCAAATCCACATGCAAATCGATGAGCCAGGCCAAGATGATGCCCAGTGGTGTGCCGCAAATGGTGCCGCCGCAACAGCTGCCGCTGGGCTTAGCCGCAGCAGCCGGCATCGCAGAAGCCATCGCAACGCCGCTGCAGCAGCAGCAACAACAATTGCTGCTGCTGCCGGAATCACCGCTGACGCCCATCACACATCGCCCCAGCTGGCAGCCGCGCATGAGCGAGGGCAGCAGCTGCTCGGATGCCGATGGCCAGCTGAAGCGCTCGAAGCGCACAAGGCGTCCGAACAAATTCTATGGCTATACCAGCGATGATGAGAACATGAGCAGCGTGTTGGCGCCCCCGTTGCAGGTGGGCATGCAGCTAATTAAGCCGCAGCCGCCGCCGCAGCTGACCTGGGCCAAGGAGGATCTGCCGACGCCGGCCAAGCAGCAGCGCAGTCGCAGCAATCATGGCGAGCATCATAATCATCACCATCATCATCAGCATCAGCAACTGCAGCAGCCGCAGCAGCAGCAGCATTCGCATCAGCACAGCAATGGCAGCACGCGGAAGCGCAACAGACGCACGCCACTAAGCGGAGCCGGCTCCGGCAGTGCCAGGCGCGGGGCCAAGCGTGTCAAGCAGCAGCCTGCGACGCCAGCGGCAACGGTGACAACGCCGCAAGTGGAGCAACTGCAGTTGCCGCCCATACCGACGCTAAAAATACGGCCCGCTCTGCTGCCCGTCAGCGCGGCGCCCAGCGACAGCAGCGATAGCAGCTCGGACGACGAGAATGCCGAGATCAATGTGACCAGTCTGCTGCCGCCCATACAGGCGCCGTCCGTAATGATGCAGCAGCCGCCAGTGGTCGTGGCGCCGGCACCGGTACCGTTGCCAACACCGCCGCCGCCGCCCGCGACAACCGCCTTCAATCAGCCCATACCGCCGGCGCTGCTGCCGAATCCGGACTTTGCCACGCTGCAGTACTTCAAGGCGAATAATATACGATATCCCATACGACCGCCGGCTGGGGCACGTCTGGCCCGTGAGGGTGAATCGGTATATTGCTATTGCCGTTGTCCCTACGACGAGGTCTCCGAGATGATTGCCTGCGACGGTGACAATTGCCTCATCGAATGGTTCCATTTCGAGTGCGTTGGCATCATGGTGGCGCCGCAGGGCAAATGGTTTTGCGCCGAATGCCGGCCCAAATATTCCGAGGGCCTCTATCCGGGCGTCAAGGCCAAATAAACTGACGAACTGTGTACATAGTTCTAGACAACCTAGGTTAAGGTTTACAAAATCCTAAATACCCTTTACATATTAAAAAAAAGAAAAAACCCCAAAACAGCAACAACACCCACTACAGAATGGATTACGCTTATTAAATGTTAAAAATATAATTCGATGTCTCTCCAAAACTTCGGATCGATAAAAAAAAACAAAAAAACGAAAGATTTACAAAAAAATATTACACTTAAAGTAAATGCTAAGGGAAAAGCAGATTATATTATGGAATATAAATATATACCCAGGCTCAAAGGCGTCCCTCGCGACTTGGCTGCAGCATAAACTAAGCTAATCTTAAATAAATATCTTTAATACACACACATAATACACTTAAACACATATGTATGTAATTTAAAGATATATATATATATATATATATATTATATTTTTTGTAAATATTTGAGAGTTGCATATACGAATCGTATATATATATATGTATATGCAATTGTACAATACTTAGCTCATGCAAGATCTATATAAACCCTTAGACTTAACTCTAACCCAGCATCAATAGTTATAAATATGATTATGATAAACTCTAATGACCTATCGCTAGCTATATGTAAACAAACTAAACAAAAAAAAAACAAACAAAAAACAAAAACTAAAAAAACAACAAAAAGCAAACTCTAATTGCAAACGAGATGCGAGAAATAAACATTCAGTAAGTGAACCATAAACTTAGCTTAATTGTTTTCCATGGTTTTGGCAGTTATTGTGTTTTAATTGAAACCGAAATGTGAAGCTAAAATTGCCTCTACACTATTATAAAACATTTGCTGGAACTGTAAAGCACGCCCGCTTTAATGGATCCCTGCTCGGGCGCCAATCTTTTGATTCATTGGAAAGTTGTTACAGCGTTCTAAAAGTGACGAACTATGGACTTAAGGTGCGCTATTTCAAATATTCAAAGTTTAAATATATATAAAAAACTAACAAATATTCAATATCTGTATTCAGACAGTCCACTTAGATCTTAAGTATGCAAACTTATAAAAGGTTATAAGGATTTATAGATTAACAGCAAGCACAACAACTAATTTAACAACAAGCTAAACCTCATTGTATAAGTAGGCACTGGATCCCTGCTCGGGCGCCAAAGCTACAATATAACGAATTGATGTAAATATAAATAGCGCATTAATAGCATAGGCGGTAGCTATAAAATAAAAATATGTGTTTATACTATTCTAGAAGCAACATGACTAGCTATTAAATCTATAGAGATTTGTCTAATAAAACAGGATTTCGATATAGATTATTACGATTGCTTAGAAACGGAGCAAGTTATAGATTATTGGAAACAAAATCGTACTGCGCGGGCAGGAGGATCTATTTTGAACATGGTATAAATACAGAAATAAAAGAGCATACGAATTAAATTCATAAAAAAATCCAGAACAGCAGAACAGAAATATTCGTTAGACCCTGATCAAGCGCAGCTAATGTAGCATAATGAAATATAAAACAGCTTCGAAGAGATAATCTACAAAATTGGTAAAAAAAATTGTTAGGTACTTACAAAACTGAATTAATTCTGTCAGATCTTCAGAACACTCCGATAATTGTTTCTATAAAATGTATAGTCTTTGTCCCTGCTCGGGCGCTTCTAAGCTGCATATACCCAACACTATATATGCATAACACTAGCCAAAACGACAGACAGATATATATGCATATATATCATAATTTAGACCCGATTCAAGCTAACATGTTAAATTTCGCTAATCGTTAACTGCAGTTGGGTTTAATATCCCATAAAGGCATTCAAAAATGTTGACATGCTCGTATGCAAATGCACTATCCCGCCCCCTCCTGATTATGCTGAAGTAAATGCAAATAAGGCACGACAATAAAATGATTGTTGTTGTAGCTGATGAACACGAACGTGTGCGCCAGGGTCATGTGTGGGGTCATCCAAGCGACGGCCAAAAAGGACACCACCAATAGCTCGGGTTGAGGTGCGGCTAAGTCCGTTCAGCGTGGGTTTGTTTACCAAACAGCGCGTTGATTTAATTGCCAGCCCGAGGGCAGTAGACGAACTGTAACGAGTGCCGAGTGCCGAGTGGTAACTAAATTACGGCTAACGAAGGTATAGGTACACAGGTACAGGTACAGGTAACAGGTACAGCTAACGGTAAAGCGTGGCCAGTGGCCAGTCACCACTTCGTGTAGAAAAATTACCATAAATCTGAGGTGTGTGCCTAGCCTTTATATGCGCCCTGGTGAACTTGAAGCGCTCAGTTCGTGTTGAGTTGAGTTGCCGTGCAGTCGAATCCCTACGCTCTACGCTCCTTCAGCGCGCCACAAATTTATTTCGAATTTCGCGTCGCAATTGACCGCTATTTGTGTGTGCGTGTGTGTGTGAGTGCCATGTGGCAGCGGCAGGCTAAACCGACTCGAGCGCAATTAGTCCAAGTGTTTAGAGCCTGTGTCCGGCCATGGTGCGACGCGCCTCGAGCGTGCCGCATCTGAACAATAGCGGTGGCAGCAGCGCCGATAGCGTCAACGCACGCGGTCGTGCTCCGGCTGGCGGTGCCGGAGCTGCGGGGCGTGGCAGACGGAGCAACGGCGCTGGCACCGGCAAGGCGACAACGCCGACGCAACAGCGCCAGAGCTCCGGCAGCTCGGGCAGCGGAAGCCGTGTGCCGCGCTCCCGCAGCTTGACCAACGGTATGCGGCGACTCAGTCCGCAAAAGGTCGGCAGCAGCGGGGGCGGATCAGGGGGCACAGGGGGCAGCTCACGGAATACGCCGTACTTTCTGCGTGCCCGTGAAAACGAGTAAGTGACTGTGTGTTATGTGTGTGTGTGTTTTTTTTTGGGAGGAGCACTGCGATGCTTCTCACCGTAATCAATAGCTCGAAAAAAGTACAGTAAATATTGCCTAAGTGTGCTGCATACTCAAAATGCTTGCCAGGCTTCAAGCTGAACGAAAATAAGTGCGTGTAAAGCGTTTCACCTGCTGAGTCACAGCGGCAAGTCCGGGGCAGCCCGGGAATAAATTAAAATAATAATAATTCTCACAATGGTTAGTTATAGCCTATTCGACTTACCTGGCACTTCGAGTTGTTCAGTTTAAATATCTGTTCAAAATTTAAATAAATCGTTTTTATTTACCAATCCTAAGCCTTCTTAACTAACACTTGAAATGCTTTACGCATTGTTTTTCAACACTATTTTCACTTGAAGCTGTTCAAAATAGTTCTCCTACAACTAAGCGACTTTTTTGCGAGGCAAAAGCCCGAAATTTTATCCTTATTGTAGATTGATAAAAAATATATCTTTAGCGTCAATGGAAAATATAATAATAATTAATAATGAAATCATATACTTTGAATAAAATAATGATCTTTGGATTAATATAATTAAAGTTATAAAATATATATTTAAATTAAATAAAAATCTTTAGATTCATAAAATATATATATTTAAATTAAATAAAAATTTTAAGATTAATATAATTTAAATTAAATAAAAGTTTTAAGATTAATAAATTATATATTTAAACATTTTAAAAATCTATAGTCTAATAAAATATATATTGAACTTAAATAAAAATCTTAAGATTAATAAAATATATATTTATAAAATAAATATTCAAATTAAATGAAGATTCTTAAATAAGTAAAATATATATTTATATTAAATAAAAAATTCTAAAATTAATAAAAATATATATTTAAATTAAATCAAAAACTTAAGAATAAAAAAATATATATTTAAAGTAACTAAAAAATCGGTAGATTAATAAAATATATATTTAAATTAAATTCAAATCTTTAGATTAATAATAATAGCAAAAAAAACGCTGCTTGAAATTTAGATTTTAAATGGTAACAGATAGTTTTTTTTCAGTTTAAAAAGAGTTCTTTTTAAACAAATTCTGATTTGATTCTAATTGTTAAGTCCTACTTTAGATTGACCAAATAGTAGATTTAGTTTAAAATATTTATCAACTGAAAATGATATAGTATTGCGTATAAAGGTCATTTGTATTTGTTCTCAATTATTTTTAGATATTTAATAGCACACTGCTGGAAGCAGCAGCAGACGTAGCCTAAAAGCCTTGGCAAGTGCAGAAATGCTACGCATTTAAATATTTATAATTCTGCATATAAATGGTTTGTTGGCCAAGTTATATATTTGCATCAATCCATTTGCCCGCTGGACAACGAGTAATAAAACTACTTAATAACCCGACCAGGGACTGGCAACCCTTGATGAGGCACTATTAAAAAAAACAAAAAATAGAAAAGTAGAATACGGAAGAGGGTGGCATAGGCACAGGCACAGGCGCAGGCACATGCATCAGGCGTAATGACCACGCACAATAAACCGAAAGAGGGGGCGGGCAATCAAATGGACGGACAGTCAGACGGACAGCTTGGACAGCGAGTTTCGTTCAATTGGTCATGTTTTATATTTAAACAATTAGTGGCGCTCTCGGGGAATTGAGTCTGGGTTTGGGCTGCGGCCACGACATAAATCGATTTTGTAATTACAATCGACGAGTCCTGTCCGGCCGTGTCCTGTCCAGTCAGCTCCTGCATGACCCGCATTGAGAGCGAAAGTGACATATTTATGTTTGGCATTCGAGCTGTTTGGCTAGGCATTGTCGGGGCACAGTGATAGTGACAGCCAAGTGCTGCCCATTTATTCTATAGTATAGTCAGTCGACGTTAAGGTTAAGAACCTGCCAGTTCTTTGGGTTAAGTTGGTGGCTAAGCTCGTGGCTAATGGGCAGGCACTCTGCCACAAGGTAATTTAATTGATTGGCGGCAGCTAGATTGGGGCTATAACAATTATTATGTCCCATATCCGGTGCTACAAATTCCAATAAAAAGACTATGAGACGATTCGCAACAGCTGCCTGCTTTATGTTGCGCTTCGTGAAGCCAATTTACGTATTCTTGGAAGGGGTTTGAACTAGGTATTGGTTCAAACCTTTGCTTGTTATATTTGAGAAAAGTTTGACACTACAATTCAATTTTAATTTAAAATTTCCCGTTTTACTGAAAGCGTTGGAAGTTTAGAAATGAGGGGCCAAATTTTGATCACCATCCAAAATTGGCATCTACCTTGTGGCTGAGTCTACCTCAAAATGTATGATTCGGTTAAGAGCTAGAATATTAATGGCAATGCGGGGTTCGAGCCAGCACGGTTCAAACCCGACTTGCAGCCTTGTTTACTCTTATCTATGGAGCCTTGAATAAGATCAGAGCAAATTCAAAGAGAGTTTATTTTATTATTACAAAGCGGTTCAAACCCGCTAAATAATTCGACTATGAACCCGAATTTTCTATCAGCTCACTTCAATAGACTTTTGATACTTTGTTATCACACATTGTCTTCGATTTCGCTGCTTTCTCGTCTCATTAGCGGCTCCTTAGAGTTGAATTTGAGTTGGATTGCATTATAAATTATTCATGCCACATTGACTTAATATCTGGCATTCAGCACCTGTTATTCGCTATTGAATTTGGCATGTGATTCACGTGTTTGTTCTGCGCAGATTTCGTGCCATATAAATATTGTATGTCCACTTAATGTTTATCCTGTTGTAATGTGTTGCTTGTTGTTGTCGTTGTTGTTGTTGTGTGTTTTGGTATTGTTTGTATTGTTTGCACAACAAATAAAATGTAACGACCACCAATTGAGTCAACGAGCCAGCACAACAACAAAA